TGGGAATACCCATAGACATTCTCCACTTCCACACTGGACTCGTATTTTCACTGACTGTTCAAGTGACACATTTTTCTACAGCTAAGCAGGGCTGGAAATGGGGGGGACGGAGTCCTGGGAGAGAATTTCGAGGAGGAACGGCGTTCCAGTTCCAGCTGCTTAGGTTTTTTGGAAATCAAAGTGATTTCTATATTTTATCCATTCAAAAGACTACGAAAGTTCTGCACATAAAAACGTAGCGGGATATTTGTGTCTATGGTTAGCTGCGCGTCTTTTGTGATTGGCCATAATACCCTCAGACTGCAGCAAATGAAAATGCTTCTCTATTGGTGCGAGTCCTGCTCCTCACAGGCACAGATCGTGAAAGCAGACTGCAGTTTTTGTTTAGTGCTGAGTCATTCAAGCTCAGATCCTCTCATTATAACAAACAAAGTGTAGATACAATGTAAATAATAGATTCAGTGTGCAGTCAACGAAAATAGTTCCAAACAAAGTCAAAGCTGAGTCGCTGTGCATCTCCAAGCAAACACATCGGTGTTTTGTTTATGAATGAATCTGCGTTTTTGAACAAATATATTGAGTCACTGATTCAATTACCCATTCATAAAGATAGTCACTTGCTTCGATTCAGCCGTTTGAACGAATCGATTGAATGAATGATTCAGTGACTTGCTGCCACCTACTGGCGGTTTCAGTTTCATTTTTAAAGTATAAATTGAGTTATTTAAATCCTTTAATTTTTCTATGTTCAAAACTTTTAGAACATTAATCTCATAACACTGTTATTACGAATTTAAATTCACCTCTGGGTCTCGTTAAACAGTCGTGTAAATATTCATCAATTTGTGTTCTTCTGTGCACCTCCTAGTGCAAAGATGAATTGTTGATGCTGATTTCATTTGACTGGTAACTTATTCTTATTGATTGTATCTTATTATTTTAACTGAATTTATTGTTTGATTAAAATTTTTGATAAAAGTTTATAAATATTATTTTTCGACACAAAAGATGACATTTTAACAAGCAAAGAAGACAATTGAATAAAGTTAGGGAAAAAATGGCATTACGAAGGTAAACTTTACAATTTAAAGAGTTAAATATCACCTCATAATGGGAAGGTTAATTTCTCTCATTGATCAGAAGGTGTTCCTAAATTTTATTTTGATTTTTTTAAGTAGGAGCACAAGTGCTCCTATAAAGAAATATAAGCGTAGAGTCCTGAAGAATGTAATGTTATCTTTTAAAAACTAATTGCAAATGTTTATTCAAAGTGTAAACCATTAAATATAATCTACAAATCATGCAATACTGTACCACTAAATAAGAAGTGTTTTGTGGGCTTAGATAATCAGGCCAATTAGAAGCCATTACTAATCATTCTCATTTTTATTAAATCATTCTTTCATTTCACTAATCAATTTATTTATTTATTTTTAAACACAAGGGGTCATTAATGATGCCTACATTATAGCATGTGCAAATTCACACACAACATATCTTTAAAGCTGCAGTCCATAACTTTTTTTGGTTAAAAATGATCCAAAATCAATGTTTGAGCAAGTACATAACCAGCCAGAGTTCAAAACTATCTCCTTACTTTTGCCTGATTCACAACAGTAAGCTTGTAATAATGTGTTCTAATTTGAGTGGTACTGGTAGGTTTTCGCAGGAAATATGAGCATGCCGCTGTTCGTCTTTGCGTCATTACATCACGTCTGTAAACATAAAGAAGGAGTCCCGGCGAGTCCCATATCGCATGTGAGGATGCTGCAGGTGGTGGATCATTTATAACCTTACAGCAGCTGAAATAATTAAACTTACCTTTTTGATGGCGAATTGTAAACGACAATGATCAGTGACAACCGGAGATTCACCCATACAGTAGTCAAAAGCAAAAGACTTCGGACTGCGGAGTGGCTACAGAAAAAAATATTCCAGTTTTAAATGTGCATCTGATTACAGATACGATTTGTATTTCAAAGAGAACCAGTTCTAAGGAACATTAATTTGCTTTTGGGTTAAAAGAACAATTTCTTCATATGAAATTCGAATGGTATGACAATTAGAGATTAGACTGTACAGAAACTGAAATCTACACGTAACGCTAAAACACACTTAATACACGAAAAGTTGCTGAAGTTGTTAACATAAACAATTTGCGAACAAAATAATGATAATAATTTGCATGGTTTGATGGGATATGAGCTAATCGATCGTTAGATTTAGCGCAATTTGTAATGCTTTTTTTTCTCAGTTGGTCAGAGCAAAAATGGCAGACATGTTACCTACTTGTTCAGAAGACATTTTCCAGTGAAAATTATTATTTTGGACATTAAGACGTAGAATCTGTGATTCCGAAGTACAGTAGTGAAAATACACATCAGTGCGATGACTGACAGCCACACAGCCTCAAAACATTAGATTCATCCGCGCTAAGGAGCTGTGCCGATGCACAACTCACGTAAAGAAGATAATTCCACAAATAACTGCAATTCCATGTTTCAAACAGAGATGGCAACAAAGAGGCAAAACTTACGGACTGCAGCTTTAATTTGGCCAGAATTGCAGGATGTCTGTCTTGATATCCAAGAAGGTTTAGAGAAAATATTAAATAAGTTTAATGTAATTATAGATTATAAAGGGTTTTATAATTAAATAGGCCTACATCCGAAAGGTCACCTAAAATTACCCCCGCATCGTTCAAAACTAGAGTCCCCCCAGTGAATTTTGGCCATTTATACCACTGCAGCTAAGTGCTGATCTGTATATGAATTCCTCTACATGTCACTTGGATGTCGATGAACATCTAAGTCTGTTCAATACTACCTGTTCTAACATTTAAACTCTGTTGCACCACTAAAGGTGAAAAAACATAATCACAATTCAATACCTTGGCAAAATGACTTCACTTGTTCTCTCAGGCAGACCTGTAGAAAGGCTGAACGTAAGTGAAAAAAGGATAAATTACAAGTGTCATGAAATTTTAAGTGATTCTCTTTATGTCTATCAGCGAGCTGCTAGGGCTTCAAAGTGTTGTTATCTCTCAGAGCTAATTTTAAGAAATAGCCATAAGCCAAATATCCTACTTTCCACTGTTGAATCTGTTCTCCATCCAAATATTAATCCTTTTCCTGAGACATCTGCCTTTATTCCGCATATAAATTGTTCCATTCTCCCCTTCCACTTGGTCTGTCTTTGAGCCTGTAAACTTGAATACTCTGATTGAGATTTTGTCTAGTAGTCACATAGTCTGAAACCTACTATGTGTCCCCAGGATGTAATTCCTTTATGTTTCCTCTGACAAATTATTGAGACTGTCTGCCCTGACCTGTTGTCTGTTATTAACAAATGTCTTTATACTGGGACTGTACCTGGTAACTATACTTATTTCTAATTAGTCTTTTCTTTCCAAAATGGTCCCACTTTATATTGTGTCCCTAATACCTGTGTACTTACATAGTAACTAGATGTGTACACAGTATGTAACCACAGTTTAAGTACATATTGGTACATAGTATCTACAGCTCTAATGTTTGTGTAACTACACATATGTAACAACCCACTGAATGGTATGTGTAAGTACAAATGTGTAACAGGACATTGGTAACAACACTTTTTGTTAATGAAAGTACAAATGTGTAACAGGACTAACAGCACTTTTTGGTAAAGAATGTGTTACACTTTATATTAAGTGGACAGTTCCTGAGGAGTTACCATGTAAGTACACTGATATTAGTATTCCCAGTGGTGCACCAACTCCAAATCGAGATCCAACTCCTCCTACATTACATATCCATAAACCTACCCATCTCCACCCCCTGGATCCCATTTCCACCCCTAAACCTACCCATCTCCACCCCCTGGATCAAATGGTTTCAATTACCCTTATACATATTGTTGTTATAAAATGTAGTTACACTTCCTGTTACACGAGTACTTAGTGAAGTGGAAAAAAAAGTGTTGTTACCAATGTCCTGTTACACATTTGTACTTACACAAACCATCCTGAGGGTTGTTACATGTGTGTAGTTTCAGAAATATTACAGCTGTAGATACTATGTACCAATGTGTACTTACAATGTGGTTATATACTACGTACACATTTAGTTACTATGTAAGTACACAGGTAGTAGGGACACTTAATATAAAGTGGGACCCTTTTAAGAGTTTAGACTCTGAGCAGTCTATGGCTCTGGTTCTGTTAGACCTCAGTTCTGCCTTTGATTTAGTCAAACATAATACTCTTATATCACATCTTGGAAGCTGCGTGGGACCAGCAGAGGAGGAGAAGCATGACTACTGAGGAGGTGGTCATTAAGCCCACTCGAAAACATGTGTGTTGTCGCTCCAGGGCACCTCATGCCACAAGTCCAAAAAATCCTCCAGAGGACATTCTCCCTGAATGTAGTCTGAATCTGTTCTGGTCAGGATCTGGTCCTCTGGTTGGATCAGATCTTGCAGATATAAAAAATCAATAGCTTCACATATGTATAGACAATATAAGATAGATATATCTTATATTATATATAAGATATAATATATGCAAAAGATAATGAGGAACTCAACAAGAAACAGATGCACACATAATCAGTAAGTATGCAACACAGTAGTGATCAGAACACAGGAAACAGGAAAGAAACACATGAAAACAAGAAATACAAACTAACAGTCCATGAAAATGAAACAGAAACTACATGTTGATTGTGATGATTTCAGTGCAGTTGGTTTAATTTTTTTAAAGAGATTTATATTTTCCAAATATCTAATAATACAATGACAAGCAATATTTAAAAACATTTACCCCCTCTTTATATGTTTAAAAACCCTCATAACATTCTAATTTCTGTTAGATTGGTAGTCTTTACAAGATCATGACTATATTAAATCAACATTAATAAGTGATTTTGCATTATTAATTTTAGCCATAATATATTAGTAATAGGAGAGTATTCATTCTTTTAAAATATGTGGTCATGTTTTTAAAAAAATGTGTACAGTATCACCACATATTTTAAGAAAAAAACAACAACTATTGAACATTTTACTATAAGTCTCTTTCTGTTAAATAATGGAAGACAGGGTGGACAGAGTGTATACCGGAGCTTAAATTAATTTTAACATTAAGTATTTTCAAAGCTGTTTTAACATTTACAGTTTGCTGCATGATTTGAATGAAACCCTCTTGTAATTAGAGTTGAAAACATGTGGATGTATGTCATCAATAAGGTGTGCTGTAAGACAACAGCTGCTGAAGAAGTTGTGCCTTCTCAAGCTCCAACATGGAAATCTGTTGATTTTTCCGATTAACTTCCTGCATATGAAATTGACACAGTTTTTGTTATGTTGATAATAAATAGGACTGCACAATGGAAACAAAAACAACAAAATTACTATTATTATTACTCATCATCACCTTGGCCAGTGTGGCATTGCTCCACCGGAGGTCCCAGTCCGAACCTCCACTCTCTTCTGGGGTCAGATTGTTCCAGACACAGGAGTCATTCATCAAACTACCCAGACTCCCGTTCACTCGCTGCATACAAGACCGCACAGTGCAGGACCACCTGCCCTGTAAGGTACAGGTACATTATCTACAAATTTCTTAGGACAAAAATGTAAAAAATTAAAAAATTAAAAAAAGTACAAATAGAAAAGCCAATGTTTTGCCAGCTGAACCACTGAGACACATGTAAACAACAGTACAGCATATTGAACAGACTACGTCCATTCCTCATAACCTCACTTTGAAAGGTGGGTATAAGCCTGATCTAGATGTAAAGTACACCAGGTTTACTTAATCCTGCTCTTGTAGACTAACCTTTCTGTAGACTTTAGCTACATCCTTAATCAAACACATGACCAAGTTTACTAAGTCCTTCAGGATCAAGAGGTTAAGGTTTGGCAGTTAAAAGGATAGTCAGCCCGATCTCACAGCAATTCGTGCATATTTGACAAGGTGGCTAATTCGTATGACATCACTCGTACAAATTCATACGATTTATGAAAAATCATACTATTTTATGAGGTGGCAAATTCGTAGGAATTCCTACAAATGACCACACTTAACCCCGCCCCTAAACTTAACCGTCACAGAAATCGTACAAAATCGAGTGAGGTCATATGAATCCGTTGAATTAGCCATCTCGTAAAATACGTATGATTTGGCTGTGAGATAGTGTTGGGATAGTTGACCCAAAAACAAAATTCTGTCATCATTTACTCACCCTCAAGTTGTTCAAAGTTTCTGGTGAACACAAAAGAAGATATTTTGAAGAATATTGGTAACCAAACAGTTGATGGTAGCCATTGACTTTCAGTTTTTTCATACTATGGAAGTCAATGGGGACCAGCAACTGTTTGGTTACCAACATTCTTCAAAATAGCTTCTTTTGTGTTCATACAGGTTTGGAACATCTTGAGGGTGAGTAAATGATGACAGAAGTTTCATTTTTGGGTCAACTATAACTTTAAGCTGGTTTCACAGCTTACAACAGGGAATTTCTGAAATAATTGTGATACTTGTGCTACCAAGTTGGGATGACCTTCTGACAAACACATGAACACAAGATCAGGCCTCTCTGGTTGATTTCATAATGATACCATTATATTGGCAAAATATTTTTTTCTTCATTGATGGACACTAAGAAGTAGCCAATGTTAGTATAAATAAAGTTTTTCAAGCAAAATTTTAAAAAAGTCTTATTTTATAGTGGATATCAGTTACACTGCTTATAATTTT